ACGAGCAGTTCATGATATTTTTAGGTAGAATAAATAGTACAGTGGTGTAACCTATTTTCGTGTATATAAGGATTCAACATCGAATTTCGTCAAAGTTAAAAAAACGGAAATTTTTTTTTTTTGTCTTAGATGTTTCCTCAGATATTCTACAAAATAATTCAAATTGGTTTATTTCGATTTTCTTTATGAATCCTTCACTTTGACCCATGTTTCATGAGCAACCAACTCGACAACTCTGTCACCTATTTTCGTGTACAATGTTTGATCTATAAATAAGTCTAGAAAAACACGATGTGTGGATACCGGGTGGTATAATTAACTTCTCTTAGTATTTATCTTTGATATCAATTCATTATAACTAGTGACAATTCCTTCAAAGAACCACGATTTAAAAAAAAAATAGCGACTGACAAAATAAGATACGTAGCGTGATTTATTGCTAGAAGTCATTGAAATATAATGGACTGCTCGTGTTTATGTTGTGAATCTAACCTGACGACGAGCGGAATATCTTTGCTGACAAAGCACATTTAGCAGATATTGTCAATATATTAATTAACGAGTGAACTAACTTTCAACCAATTATTTTACGAAGGTCACATTATCATACTCTTTGTAAAGCTACTGTAATTTCATTGGATCCTCTACCTTAATGAATGAGGCTCTTCCTGATGGAAATTAAGAAATAATACCTCGTATTTTTATTCTTTGGCAAGATGTATTGATTTCTAGTACATTTTACTGAAAAGGGTTGAGGCATTTGCTTTATATCCCTTTATAATGAAATTTAAATAGGCTTTAGATTGCCTTTGAAAAGTGACCTGAAAAGTTATGACAGCTTTATATAAAAAATATATTTGCATGCCAACACTTCTATTTTGTTATGCCTTTCACGTTTTTAACATTTTTCACTAAAATTTCTGTTTATATTGTATTTATTCTAACAACTCACCTTCTCTTTTCTTTTCTGCAGAATTTGCTGGAAACGCTTCCCTGAAAGCCTCCAATCTTGAGCCTTATATCCATTGCTATCTGATTCAGAACCTCTATCAAGCAGACTATATATTCAGAGTTTATGCAGACAATCCACTTAGTTGTACTTGGGATGAATTCGATTTTTATTCTTTAGGAGACAGATTTTAAATTTATTCACAAAATTGAAATTTAGCATGAATTTTATTGTTATTTTAACAAGTTAATATTTTCTAATAAATAATTCAATTTTAAAAAATTTACTTCATGTAGCATGTAGAATTTAATAATTGTTCAAAAAATTAATTTAACTATTGCATGGATAACAGCTGTAATTGTTGCTAATGGCAACTCGTAAACTGTTAATGTACGCTATTTGTTATTTAACACGTAATATTACTCTGGTGTAATGAGACCCACCAATTATGAAACATATCAAAATTGCGACTAGAATTCAGTTTGATCCTAGAGAACTCTCATAATTAGCCCAGAAATAATTTAGCTTAACGATATTTTTGTAATTAAAAATAGATTGCTGTTTATTATAATGTTAATTAATTTATTAATTCTGTTGATTTTTAATTGTTAACCTTTTATAATTAACCAGTGCTTTGCTTTGCTATGAATTTAATGTTGTAATTGGATGAAGCAAAAATACAGAAAGAAAAATTTTACCCCAAAAATAAGATCGGGAAAAGTAATTCAAAATTGAAAGAAAGTAGCACAAATATTAAGAGATTTTTTTTAGAAATTTTATATGTTTAGGAAAAATATATGAATTTTTTTTTTAAAAGATTTTAATATTTTTTTAAAATATAATTAGAGAAAGTGGGTTGGTAGAATTCACTAATTAGTAGCTTTTTTAAAAATGCACTTTTTATCATTTTATTGGCACTGAACGTTCACGTTCGGCATGTGTTATGTTCACAGTAGTTGTAGAACAATAGTCAAGTTCACACTTTAGAAATGCTTATCAGCTTCATATGAATAAAAGTTCATTTTAGAAATAAATTTTTCGTATTTTCGCCCTCTTTTTCATTAAATTTCAACATTGTTTACTCTGCCCTGACAAGCTATAATTGTAAACATGTTTGATAATTTGTATTTCTAAAATGAATTCATTGTTTACAGATGGAAAAATGATTCTATAAAGTTTGATTTTCACCAAATGTAATGTCCAAAATGTTCATATCACAGAAAGAAAATCTATCGGTTTTTTTTTCCCCAAAAATTTGAATTGTTGATTCTATATAATTCGATATCCAGACACCAGTTGTTAAAACATGTCAATTTCTAAAATTATTCTTCCTTATAAATTCCATAAAATTCTTCCCACTTCAAATTTTCAATCTTACTAATCCTGGAACTTACCCAAATTTCTTTCTGAAATCTTTGCTTCATTCAAATATATTAATACTGTAACAACTTAGTCAATAATAAATTCTTTCTTTCCTTTACATGTGATTCCTCATGCCTCAACCAGCGCTTTTGGCTTAAATCATTGTTCTATGCAATAATCTCACTGCCCTACCTACCAACTTGAATCTTTCCATTCAGAGAAGTCAATATTCTGTTAACAACTAACTCCTTAAAGGGATTGTTAAAAAGTTTTCTAAAAACATCTGTACAGGGGACACAGATAGCATTGATTTTCACCATTCCAATTTTCAATCAGCCGTCAGTTCTTGCAATTCAACTCACGTTAAAGGTCCCTCGACAATTGGAAATCGAAAAAGAGCAGGCTAATGCCGCTGTCCTGGCAAAATTTCCCTCATTGTACCCTGCATGGCGTTACCCATCTTCATTAGCCCACATGGTGCAGAAAAGTAGGACGTAAAACTCCATTCATTTCATTTCATTTTTGCAATTCAACTGAAACTTAGTGTTTTATGACATCACTAATGTCCTTGCAACTTTTGCAATAGTGACGTTATTAAACGCTCACTCTAACTGAAAATTGGAATGGTGGAAATTGATGCTATCAGTGTCCCCTATAGATATAAAATTATCAGAAACATTTTTACAATCCCTTTAACTTCCTTACTACCGTTGTTACAATTACTGCTATTACCACACTCACACCTTTTCATGCCATGGCCAGTGCTGATGGAAGTCAGCCCACATAACTGATCATGTTTGTTAATGACCACCAACTGGATTCCCCCATCAAAGCTAAATGTTGCACTCTCCTCTTAATATTTTTAATGTCTCTGTGCTCACTTGCCCACATCTGAATAAATAGATTGTCAGATTGTAAAATGGGTTCTCTAACTGCCTCCACTGGGTGAAATTTCTGTACTAATCTCACCCCTTACTGTCCAGGCATCAACTTCTGTTATCTGTTTTTTTTGGAAGAGTCAGCTTTCTCTTCTTTGCATTTTTATAATTAATTTGCTGTCCACTACATTCAATTAAACAGACAACTTGAGCTTGTTTCCTGCCTTTCAATGGTGGATCCTTCATTTTATAAAATGGGATAAAAGCCTGTTAAGATATTTAAAGGAAGCAAGCTCGGTTTAAAATAATTGTCTTAAAGGGATAAATTCATCTAAATATTTGATTTTCTAGTTTCTAGCTAGGAAATCAAATATATAGATTTCTATATCCGATAGTAGTACATACAAACTAACAACTTTTAGCAGACAACAATCTGTCAGATAGTTAATGAAAGGGATTATATTGAAGCAAGCAAGAATGAAAAAAATTTAATGAACAGAGCAGATGATTGGTTTAATAATCAATGGCCTAGAACAGGAGATGTATTACAATTTTGTCAGATCATGAATGGGAAATGGACTGAAAAAAAAAACAAATCCACAAAATAATACATCCGTTTAAATTTGCATCAGATTGACTTTTCTCAGTTACAAATATTAAATTTCATCAATACACATAATAGAAGAACTAATTTACTAGGATTGGTGAATCTTCGTATTTTCAAGCTATTATGAACTTCATCTTATACCTTGACTGCAATAGTCACTATTCTTGTATCACAGAATGCAGCAATTTGATTGGATTGTACGCAAGCGAAAAGAACCAATCAGAGCTTTTCGCCACAATCCAATCAAATTGCTTCATTTACAAAAACTTATGTTACGAGAAAGGTGACTATTGCAGTCAAGGTATAAGTACGAAGTACCAAATGTAAAGTTAAAACCAACAAGATACTTGCAATCTGAACTAACCAAACAGTAACAACATCTATTCTAACATGAAGGGGAATATCATTACTCAAAAACTACAGCAAGTTAACCAGACAATGTTGATTTGACTTTATTTCCCAGACAAAATTAGCCTTGGCATTGCATTTTAAGCAGTTTCCATCACATTCTTCTAACATTTCTAGTTCAGAATTCAGACGATGATTTGCTGAGTTTTACCAGTCATCACTGAAAAATGTTACCCTTTTAATCTATTGTAAAGACATTTCTGTTGTTTAATATATTAAAAAGTGTACAAATATTCAAATGGGACAACAATTAAGCCTAGAGCACAATAAACTCATGGAAACACAGGCGAAAAGGCAGAATAGCAGGATAAATTGTCTGCAGATATAGTATGCACATCTGTAATCAAAAATGGATTGTAAAGAGATTTTCTAAAATTTTCTGTGATGATAGTATCAATCTGTACCATTCCAATTTTCAATCAGACGCCTGTGGTTCTTGCTATTCCACCGAAACTAAGAGTTTCATGACTTCACTATCGCAAAGGTCCTTATATATCAATAGCAGCAGTTAGTGACGTCATAAAAGTTTATTTTTACTGGAATTGCAAGAGACGTCTGACTGAAAATTGAAAGGGTTCAAATTAATGCTATCAGTGTCCCTGATACACATTCAAGTTTTAGAAAAGCCTCCTTATAATACCTTTAACAATACCTGTTCATTTGTGAATCACCACTGGATGTACATAGATATATTTACAAATATTGACTTTCTCTAGGCCGCCCATCTGCTCCATCAGATCTGAGAGCTCAAAACGTCAACAGAACAGCCTTGACCTTGACCTGGACCCCACCAGATGGTGATGAAGTCACACATTACATCATTGAAAAACGTGATGCTGATAGTGACAAATGGGAGAAGGTTGCTAAGGTACCAAGAAAGACAACTGCCTTTGATATCAAGAATCTACCAGCAGAGGGAGCCTTCTCCTTCCGAATTTTTGCTGAGAATCCGTCTGGAATCAGCGAACCTGTAGAACTTCGATCACCAGTTAAACTACAGGCCAGAAAAGGTAAGATTTGTCCACTAAATGTACATTTTGTATCGTGCACTTGGATGCATTTTGAGCATGATCATTTTATAAACACAGTTTTAAATTCACTGTTTACTAACCTTTGAGGTAGAAGAAATGTGATTGAAATGAGCACAATTTCTTCGGAAAAACCAAACATTGATGAATGTTCATGATGGTAGATCCTTTTCAATAGATAGAAATGCATGTGAGACGAGGGTAAAGGGTTTTTTTCTGATCAAGTAGCACTGCTAGAAAATGGAAGAATCCTTATTCAAATTCTTGTCATCTGATTGGTCAAGCACAAGTCACAATAAAATTCAAATTCAAAATTGATTGTATTATCCAATCAGATAATTGTATTCCCAACATCTGGGGGCTGCATTATTAGTAGGCCCATCCGGTGTTCAATTTTTGGAATGGAAACTGGTTCCAAGTAGAATAGTTTGGTTTGGTATCCTTTATTTTATTTCTGATTATTAATTGAATGATTTTCAGATTAATCCTATATTTCAGGGTTTTTTTAATGTTTTTTGATATTTTTTATTTGTTGGTAATAAAGAATTCCCACCCTGTTTTGTAGTTTTTATTTGCCTGAAGAATGGAGAAAGAATGAATGTTATAGAAGAATGAATGATTTTATGTTTTCTTGATTCTTTTCTTTGCAATTGTATTTAATGCTTTCTAACTTTCTTTATATAAACTAACTCTGCACTCTTCATGATATTAGTATTATCATGTATTATATATTACATTGTCTTATTATGTTCATAAAATTTTTTTGACACTTCAATGGCAGGGAGTGATATAGCATGATCAGGGATTTTCAATTTCAGGATAGTCAGGTATAGTAGTAAATCAGGTCAGAAAGGAACGGCCCAAATATTAAAATAGTTTTGTGTTTAAAACAATTTAAAATATCATTTCAAATTATTTTCATCAGTCTTTACAGTATAAAATCAAACATTTTGCAACATTTTATCTCATTTGCAGGAAAACCATCTCCACCAGCAGAGGCACCAGAAATTCTGGAAGTCGGACCTCACTACGTGTCGTTGTCATGGAAACCACCAGAGTCTGATGGTGGATCACCAATCACTGGTTATTTTGTGGAACGTTCCGATGCCTCTGGTCGCTCCTGGATACCCGTCAATAAGGTGGCTGTTCAGGATCTGAATTACAGAGTCAATGATCTGTTTGAAGGAAACCAGTATGAGTTCCGAGTTCGAGCTGAGAACGCTAAAGGAGTCAGTGAACCATCTATTTCATCTGATGCTGTCATCTGTAAAGACAAGAGAAGTAAGTTGTTTAGTTAAATGACAAGTGCTCTAGAAGCTGGACTTTTATTACTTGTAATTGTCTTATTAGTCTCAATGTAGTGATAGTTTGAATTCATTGTGGTCTTTACAAAAGATGTATGTTCTCTTCTTGTGACCTTTGCCAGTGTTTCCTTAGGAGAGTATCTTCTATAACACCAAATATTTGTTACCTCGGCCAGTGTTTCTATAGGAGAGTATCTTCTATAACACCCAATTCCAAATCTTAAACTTTTCATGAACTTTTTACAAGTCACAGATTTCTGTTCTATCTTCACGTTATTGTGTAAAACATCATTGAGTAATTTGTTGATTTCATCTTGTAGTATCTGAAGCACCTAAGTTTATCAGTGAGTTCGGTGATTTATCTGTACCAGTTGGTGAACGGGCTGTTTTCTCCTGTAATATTACTGGTTTACCACTTCCTGAAATCACATGGTATGTTAAAGTAATATCGTACAGATTAGTCTGAAATTAGAATATTATCAATTTAACTGAAAACAAAACTTCAAGTGTTTTGAGTATAAATTCTTGTTAAAAGAACTGAAGGGACAGAAAAATAGAACAAAAAATTCCATTTCATTAGTCCAATGATGAATAGTAGTCTAAAAACATCTCAACAAACTGTCTCTGTGAAATCAATTTTTTTTCTGGTGCACAAATAATGACACTTGCTGAGACACTTTTAAAAAAACGTTAAGATAACTCTATCATATTTCAAAGTTCTTTTATTTCCTACAATTATTACATTTTTTTAAACCATGGTCCATAATAGCTTAACAAAAAACAAAAACAAATTTTGTGATCTATTTGCATTATTTAAAAAAAATCAGTCAAAACGAAATCAATGTTTATTTATAGGTATAAGAATTATCGTCAGGTCTATGACGGAAGACATTGTCGTATTGAAAGAAATGGAGATCAATATAAAATGACTATTACCAGTGCCGAGTTCTCTGATACCGGCGATATAGAGTGTCAGGCTAAAAATAGATTTGGTACTGTGGCTGTCCGCGCCAAATTAACTGTCTTAGGTAAGTACACTTGTGTTGAAATTGAGAGGAGCCGAGAAATTGGGATGCACCCGAGATACAGAAGATATAGTAATATAGTAAGTAAATTAAGTAAGGTAGATGGAAAGTCAAGAGATTGGGCATCATTACAATGTCAAGCTAGTACGAATTATGTCTTATTTGATTGGGTAGTATGCTAGCATAAAACAGTCAATCAGAGCTCTCAACAGGAGGCTTATGTTGATATATCACCTAAAGTGAGACCAGTAATGTTTATCAATAAAACTTTAGAATGTAAATTGAATATAAGTGATATAGTAACTAATAATGAGATAAAGTCGATGTATTGGTCAAGAGTTGAGAGCCAGGATGTGATCACAGAAAAGATATATTCTTCATAAGAGCTTATTGGAATCAATTTTAACAACTTAACTTAACTATATAAATCTGACAAATCTGAAAAAATTAAGTAAAAAATTTATTAATTGATTTCAGTTTGGAGATATAATATAACAGATTGACAATCATCATCACAGACTAGTAGTAGGTGTTTCAGAAAAGTAAACATGGCTTGCTTAGATTGTGGTTCTCGTATCACAAATTTTAAACCCAATCTTTTGAATTTTCAGCTGGACCTAAAATCGATCTACCACCTAAATATGGAGATGGTCTACGATTCTGCGTCGGTGATACAATCAAGATCCGTGTACCAATTCGTGGTTATCCAGTACCTAAAGCTTCATGGTTTAAAGAAGATCGTGAACTTCGCGAAGGTCGTCGTGTTGACATCACTGGAAATAACCGACATTCTACTCTGATTATTGACGATGCCAAGAAGACAGATGAAGGCCAGTATTCAATCACTTTAGAAAATGAACTAGGCACAGATACCATAATTCTACCAGTCTCCATTGTCGGTAAGTTCAACTTTCACTTTATTATTGTTCTGAGTCAGATATTGGATTAGGAAGAGAAGAAATTGATTAAAATATGTTAAAATGTTATTAGGCCTACTTGGTTTATTTATTCAACAACAATAACATGAGTGATATCACTTTTCATTATGAAATATTTCCTCATTTATAATTGATATACTTCCTCATATGAAAAGTTCATCATTTGCTGCAACCAATGTATCACTGAAGTTATTTTTTGGACCATTGGCACTTGTGTTTTTTATTCAATGTATTTACAAGATTGAAGAGATTAAAAGCTACTATAAATTATTTTGAGTAATGGGTTTAAAAATATCAATATTTCAAGATAGAATTATAACAATAGATGTGTCGTATACTTAGGCAACTTTTTCTGAGTGCTTGTTTCATATATTTCTATTTTATTTTCCAGAGCCCCCAGATGCACCCAATAAACCAGAAGTAGTGAATATTGAGAAACATGAAATAGATCTAGTATGGAGTGAACCGCTGTACGATGGTGGTTCACCAATCACAGGTTATATCGTAGAGAAATGTGATCTAGAAACAGGATTATGGCGTCATGCCTTGACTACCACTACACCCTACTGTACCATCGCCTGTCTTGATGAACACCATGACCTTCAGTTCCGAGTGATGGCAGAAAACCAGTTTGGTAACAGTAAACCCAGTGAACCTACTGAAATTGTTCAAACCAAGGAACCCATTCCAGTTATTGATTATGATGATCTTTGTAAGTATATAAGTATATAAGATGTATCACAAACACAAGACAATATTATGGAATAAGCTGACTTCTTTAATAAAATATTTAACGTTTCAACACAAGTTACACGTGTCATCATCCGATGAAAAATTGTAAGTTATGCAAGTAAAATCATGTCTGTTATTTTAATTTCACAAGACAAGCCTCTCAAGTTTCCAAAAAACTTTTGTATAAGCATCCAAATGTAGATTACATAGATCAACAAAAAATCTTATTTGAGAATCTCAACAGTTTAAGCCTCCTCACTATATTAAAGGGACAGTAGACCATTCTTTTTGACCAATCGTACTTTAGTCTCAGAAACTGGAATGTTTTAGCTAAGCCAATCAGTAATAGTGTTCACATCTCACCACGAAATTTGAGCCTTAGAATCCATGTGTGTCCAGAATTATCCGCATATGAATGTTAAAATGTTGACTCGTCAATTGAAGATACTCTGTGATATATAGAAAAGACATCTATAGAAATAGTTTGTAAAATTCCTAGTTTGAAGTATTTTGAAAGGAATTATGTGATTTTCGTACATTTCTAGTACTTCTGAAGACTATTGACATATATTCAAGACTAAAATCAACCCATCAAAATGGCACGACTGTCCCTTTGAACCTTGAAATAGGCCAGTCAAGACAAGATCTGGACAGGATTTGCTTCTTCTTTTATTAACTGTATCAATAAACTCACCCTAACCTCATGATTTAGCTATACCAGGTTGTTTCAATATCAATAAACCCACACTGTACCATGTCTTTTCATTGTTTAAAACTGGAATGCTGTAAATTGATGTTATAAGTGTCCCTGAAAAAAAATCTTTTCATGATATATTTCAGAGCAGGTTGTTTCAATTGACAATAGCTTACATTAATATATATGATCCTGAGCTTATATGATGTATAATGAAGCTACCAGTGTAAGCATGGAGATGCTGTAATAATGTTATTATTTATTTCAGATGATCGTACCTTCATGGGCTCAATGATAGATGTTAACAGTATCAAGGGAGATGTTCTTGGTAAATACATAATTTGTGAAGAACTGGGCAGGTGAGTTATCAGTCTATACGTTATCATACGCTTATAATGGGTAGAGGCGACCACACAACCCTCGTAGATAGGCTGCTGCAAACTGGGAGCTGGATAAAGACTGTAGAGAGTGATGCTGGATCCGGATCTCAGTGATACATCGAAGACAAGAACATCTTATACAGATCATTCAGTTAATAACCTTGTAAACCTGCGAATCTGGGGTTCCATTTCTGTAGAAGCAAAGATGATTCTTATCTATCAGCAGATATTTAAACCCATTTTCCCTGAACCTTGATTCCAAGGATCCCTGAATATTACACTTGTACCTTGGATTCATATGTGTATGACAGGTGGAAAAGACTGTGTTGTAAACAATGTTCAATCATTCAGTGATAAAGTTGGTAAAAGGTTAGGGCAACAGAATTCATCCTTGAACAAAAATTTGGAACAGAAGACTAATGATTTGTAATGCAGAAATCACACATTAAAACCTTCGCCTCAGATTTGCAATATTTAAGATGTTTTGCATTTTAATAACTCTTCATTTACAGAGGAGCATTTGGTGTGGTATATCGAGCCATAGAGAGAGCCACTGGTAAAAACTGGGCTGCTAAATTCATCCACTGTCGTCCATTTGAGAAAGATCTTGTCAGACGGGAAATTGAGATAATGAGCCATCTACATCATAAAAAATTACTTCAACTTCACGAGGCGTTCGATCAACCTGGTGAAATGGTCATGATTCTAGAATTGTAAGTGTAAATCAGATTTTTATTTTTTCGTTTAGATGTTGAAAACAAACGCTCTCCACTATCGCATGCATTGACTCAGGAATCAGAATTATTTTGATCACGGATGCTAGACGTGTAACTGTAAATCCTGACTCACATTCTATAAATGGAATGAGCTAAAACCAAAGAATGGGCCTACTCTCAAAATTACGCATTGTGGAATCAGAAACAATGGTGATTCAGTACCATGTAGTGTACCTAAAAAGTTTATGTATCTAGGCCTGGGAAAGATAGGTTCAAAAAATGAGCTCAGTTTATAAGTTCAACTTATGTAAATTATCAAAGCGTAAGGAATAAGTTAATTAAAGCTATATTTGACGTGGTTAATTAGTAACGGAGGTTTCGCTGAGACTATTAATAGAAACATGGGACACTATCTCCGACCCCAAATGAATTAAAGGTAAAGCCTTCCTTTTACTTTGCTAATTATGTATTTTAACATTGTGAAAATTTAACAATACTCTAGCCTATGTTCAATGACTTTTATCTCTAAAATTCGATTTGTAAAGAAATTATAAAGACCAGATTAGACTGTTTGATAGATCTTTCTGAGATAAGAAAAAATCAGCAAGGTATTTCGTTGAGAGAAATAATAAATCAAGGACTAATTCACTAAATCTTAACTGAAATAATATCCAGATATTAATAAATACTTTAATCTGATTGGATGATAAAACTAAATTTAAAATCAATTTTAGTGATTGACCAATCAGATGACATACACACTAAAATTATCTTCTTAAGTTAAGTTTTCGAGAATAAGGCCCTTGTACTATGATTCAGAAGAAATTTTGAATTTTGTTATGAACTTATTTCAGGTTGAGTGGAGGTGAGCTATTTGACCGTCTGGTAGAACAAGACTATGATTTAACAGAAGAAGACTGTATTACGTACATGAAACAAGTATGTCAAGGTGTCCAACATATGCATCAACAAAACTCTATACATCTTGATTTGAAGGTAAGTTATAAAGATATTGTGGTCATGTAACTATTTATAGAAAAAGGAAACATTGAAAGTGAAAGATCAGTTGTCTGAAGATCGCACAGTGTGAAATTCTGAGTAACAACATGTTTCAGATTCTGTTTTAATATCTGTTACAATTGATGTATTGAGCGCCATTTTAACAGTGGTATTTCTATATCACTCTACAATTGATGTATTGAGCACTATTTTAACGGTGTTATTTCTATATCACTCTACAATTGATGTATTGAACACTATTTTAACAGTGGTATTTCTATATCACTCTACAATTGATGTATTGAGCACTATTTTAACAGTGGTATTTCTATATCACTCTACAATTGATGTATTGAACACTATTTTAACAGTGGTATTTCTATATCACTCTACAATTGATGTATTGTGCACTATTTTAACAGTGGTATTTCTATATCACTCTACAATTGATGTATTGAGCACTATTTTAACAGTGGTATTTCTATATCACTCTACAATTGATGTATTGAGCACTATTTTAACAGTGGTATTTCTATATCACTCTACAATTGATGTATTGTGCACTATTTTAACAGTGGTATTTCTATATCTCTCTACAATTGATGTATTGAGCACTATTTTAACAGTGGTATTTCTATATCACTCTACAATTGATGTATTGAGCACTATTTTAACAGTGGTATTTCTATATCACTCTACAATTGATGTATTGAACAATTTTGTTATTGTAATTTAAAATTTAAATCCAAATACTTAAATTAAATATTATTCAAACCAATTAATGATATCTATGCTTTTATTGATGTCATTTTTGTGTCACATTTTAAGTATTTTTGGTGAGACAAACAGACAGACCCCTCTCATAGAAGCCTAGATCTTGTTATATAGATTTCCCCATAACGATCCACATTCATTCCTTATATTTACATTGGTCTGTCAATCATGAAGTGGGCGTGTCATAAAGTTTTCATTCATTTATACGGTCATAATGATCTCAAGATACAGGAACTTCTATACAGTTTTGTTATTTTTTTGTCTCATATTTCAATTCCAGCCTGAGAATGTGATGTGTGTAACCAAAGACAGTAAAGATGTAAAGATAATAGATTTTGGTCTAGCCCAGAAATTAGAGGAGGGTAAAGCCATTAAAGTCCTGTTTGGTACAGCAGAATTCTGTGCCCCTGAAATTATCAATTTCCTACCTGTATCGTTTGCTACTGATATGTGGTCTCTTGGTGTTGTCTCTTACGTTCTGTGAGTATTCAGACCTTTTTAATTTCCACAAAAAGGTATTACAGTAAAAGTGCAGTTAGGAAATGTAGATATTAAATTTAACATAAATTCCCATAACAGGGAAAAACAATTAAAATTAATATATACTTTTGTCAGATTATGAATCCTTTAGCAACATTTAGAGGTAGAGATCGCATTAAATAACGGGACACGATTTTCTGATATACTACTCCTTAGTTTTATTACACTCTACGTTTCAACAATCTACATTGTCATCTTCTGGTGAAGTGAGGAAATATGGTAAGAAGTTATATATTATATACACAAAAAATATAACAATAGCAACAATTAATTAAGGATTATTTAGGTTAACCACCTTCTTAATCAGCAGGACAATAAAATTTAAATATGAAATTATAAAGAATAAGGTTTTGTTTGAGGTTGTATTGATATTTAAAACAGATTGTTTGGATTAAATTCTTACTAACTTAGAAAACCTTAAAATTAAGGTCTAAAGAATATGGCTTTATTTTTATTTTCCACCAAAAATGTATTATTTGTGCAGTTAGGAAGATGTGAATATAAATTATAAAGCATAAGGTTTCAAGTTGTATTCCTAGTTTAAAACAGATTGTTTGGAATACATTCTTACATACTTAGTAAACCTTAGAATTAAGAATATGACTGATTAAATGGCTGTAGATAATTCAACCCCGATGCTAGATTAATGAGTAACGCAATGCTTATTATTTTTAAGAGAGGTAATTATTTGTAGAGTTTCTTATAGTAAAAAGATATTGATTTAAAATTTGGAAAATGATGTACCCTATACTGGTATCTTAAATTATGTTTTTTATTGTTTATAAGACATATAGAAGTAGGAAGGTAAACATTAGGAATACAGGTTGTATGGATAGACTGCTTCTAGGTTTATTACATACTATGTTTCGAAACATATACAGGTAACGTTATCAAGTAAAATTTTAGTGTTTTATTACATTATGTTGTATAATGTTCAATGTTTTGACGTGTAGGTTGAGTGGATATTCACCGTTTGCTGGTGACAATGATCATGAAACATTCTTCAACATTAACGCTGCCCATTATGACTATAATGATGATGTTTGGGAGAACGTTTCTCTGGAAGCCAAAGATTTCATCAACAAACTTCTTATTTCTGACAAAAAGTAAGTAGGGTTTTATAAAAGTTTAAAGTTCTCTTATTCCAAGTAAGAACAAGGATGCAATCCTCAACTCTGAACTGGAAATCTAAAATAACAGTTTGGTAATATATTGGTAGCAGCTAATGAATTATTAACTATGAACTGATAGATTTAAGCATCTTTAACAATGTAGCAAAAAGATGAAGTTTTCTGATCTTTCATCACAGATCTTGTGTCAGGTGTCATGTCACTCCTTCCTTTGTCCATCATCAACCTTCAGGACTCCACAGGCTGTGATCCCCCGACAGCTGGAAATCGAAAAAGAGAAGGCTAATCTGCTTTCCTGGCAAAATTTCTCTCATTGCACACTGCATGGCTTTGAAGGTTGAAGGTGCAGAAAAGTAGGACGTAAACTTTATTCATTTCATTTTTTGTAAAAACCATTATTTTTTTCTAGACAAAGAATGACAATAGATGAAGCTTTGGCTCATCCTTGGTTAAACGTAAGTTGTTACCACCATTTTATTTTTATAACATCTATTGATTTAAAATCATATTAAAAGTTTAGTTTTCACTTTGTTGAATTTAGAAAAAATATTATTTTATAGAATATAATTGTGAATAGAAGTGATATTATAGCAAAAAAACTCTGATACTTTGTAATTATTCTTCTAATGAGCAAGTCAATTTGTTATTTTGTTAAAAATTTGGATATAAGATGTCGATTCAATTGTTAACAACAGCTTGTTTTCTGATTGAACTCTCACAACAATGTTTCACATCATCTTGGTGCGTTGTTTTAATGACATTTTTTAATAGTAGGATGTAAAACTCCATTTTATGAGACTTTATCAAGCAGTGTTGACACCAGTGGGGGTACAGGAGGGCAAATATTTGCCCCCCTAGAAAAGTGGTTTGCACCCCCAATTGTGCCCCCACTTTATTTTCAATAAATCTAAATGTCTACCTTTTTTCTCCAAAATATGTGTCAGAATGAACAAAATCAATTCATTTTTTCTAAAATTTTCTTGAGAAAACCCTCTAACACGCTCTATGAGAGGCTTGCAACTATGACACTACCACAGAGTAGCCAAAATTTGAATTCAGTCTCCGCAGTTGTCCCCCATTGAGTCAGTCTGCCCCCTATTTGTACCCCCATTCTCGGAAAGGCTGGCACTGCCACTATTATCAAGGTTGTCACCATCATTAGAATGTTGATCAATCATCCTGTAAATTATTGTTGATATGTTCACTGCCGTGTTGTCAAACTGTGGCTTTAATTGTAGTAAAATCCTATTTTTTTATCCAAAACTCAGAGCTTCCTTAAGTGTTTGCAAAATTTACACTATATTGGTGTCAATAACAAAATATTTTCACTGTTAAAATAGTGCTTGATACTTCAATTACTGTAGAGCGAAATAGAAATATAAAAACAGAACCTGAAACATGTTGTTAATCAGAGTTTCATGTTGTGTCAAATAGATATATAGATTTTCTTTCTGGCTTTCTGTCTCACCTCTGTCACGTCACAAAGTAGCTTTCCAATGCCAAATACACAATACAAAATAATACAGACCAAATAAACTACATATATTATCAAGTAGATGATATTGGTATAAGAGATACTCTCCTATAGAAGCACTGGCCTAGGTCACAAGTATAGACTATGGATTTCAGCATTAGAATACATCAATTTAATAAAAATATTACTTACTTCTAAAATTCAAAATGTTTTGTGCCAACTTTAATATTTGTAATCTACCACTCACTGTTGACTCTGGAAGCTCTCTGTTTGTGATATTTTGTGATATTTTGTGGTGTTCTGTCGTGATAATTTGTGATAGCTTTTGTTTAATTGTTTGCTTTTTGCCTCCCTTCAGCCGAAACACAAGACATCAACAGACGAGATTGATGTGAGTACAAGTCTTGTTTCCAATATTTCAAATAAAACAAAGGAAATGGATTGTGGACACAGTTAAAACTTTTTAAAATTAAAAAAGTCAATACGCGAAATTCAAGGCATATACAAATTACAAAATTAGTGGGCTATGAAAATGATAACCAAAATAAATTGATCAAACTTGTAAAAAAGGCAAGAATATTTTTATAATTTTGGAGGTGATCTACAGAGCTGTTAGTTCAAAATGGTTTGAGCTATTTTGTCTATTTTGATCAAAATGAGTTATATTTAGAGTTTTGATTTGGTCGACTTTGTTTTGAGTTTACGTGATGTAGATTTTGGCTATGAAAATTTAAAACCAGTTGCGTCATGAATATCATTGATGACCAAAGATATCTCCTTTGTTTTGTTTGAAATTGTAATATTTAGTATAATAAAACAGCATGTCTGTCTGTAACATTCCATCATCAAATTACATTACAATACTTGTAAGCTTATATTAAGTGTAATTTCTGATTATTTTGACAGGGATCTGCTGAAAAGAAATTGCGAAGATCACCTCTATCTAAAGAACATCATAAAGATTACAGAGACAGACAGAGACACAAGGTAAGTTCCTTCTGGACAAAGTGAAATGTATATTATGCCTTTGATATTAACTTGTATCCTGGTACCTTATTCTCCAAAACTTAACTTAGTAATCTGATTGGATAAAAAAAACTAAATTTAAAATTGCTTTTAGTGATTGACCAATCAGATGACCAACTGGAACACTAAAAGTATCTTAAGTTAAGTTTTCAATGTAAATGCTGGTTTTTTTTTTCACATGATCTGTTTAGTAAAAGCTAGTCATTGCTTGTATCTAAAAGAATTTTATATTTCAAATGAAAATCTTCACAAAAGATGAAGACACCATCAAAGCATTTATAGACTGGGACACAGTTACACAAAAATTGTAATGATTGGCTCTAATAGCCAGATTTAAAACTGATTAGAGACGGACCAATCAGATGACTGGAACACTAAAATCATTTTGAGTTTTTGTGAAACAGGCCTCGATGTGACTTTGGAAAGTTAAAAGTTTTGTTTTGAATTACAGGAGGATGAACAAGACATCTTACCAATTGGACGTCTTTCACGAGACAGCGCCATCTTCAGGAAAGAAGGAGAGACTGGTGTCATGATGAGAGAACTTATCATGGGTAGGTCCAAAGACTTAATATTTTTACTTTTGCTTTGCACATACAATCGAGATTCAAATTTTAATGTATCTGTTTTCAATATGGTTCAGCCAAAGGGGAGAGGGGGGACTTATATATCACTGAATATGGCGTTTGCAGCAAGCAAAATTCTTAAAAATATTGCAGTATTGCACCTTTGATGGCCCCATGCAAAATTATTTCTACTCACATTAAGAAATGTTTTGTTTTTTAGAATTACCAGAACATAAACCAGTAGTGTATGAACCAATGGTAGATACGGTAGGGTACGAGGGATCTCGAGCTGAACTGTCCTGTAAAATAATCGGCAAACCTACTCCAACCATTACTTGGTAAGTTGTCATAGTAATTCTTTAGGTGATAGAAATTGAAAGCTGACTCTGGATCGATTCTCAGAAGCACTGGCCTGGCATCAGAATATCCTGGATACAATTCCAAGGCTCCTACTTGTCTAGAAGACCACAATCCAATTCTCAACCATTTAACATGTACCATATTGTTGGGGGGATATTTCTTTTTTAAAATGTCTACAACATGTGATGACCATTTTCAATTAACACCTTGATTAATGTTTTTTTGAAATAAATAAGGTTCATTATTTAATCATCTTAGAATCTAAGTAGCTTATAACCATGGCAACATGCATCTACAAATTAGTGTTCTCATATTTTTGTTGATTACGTATTTCCATACTGTGTTTCTTGTTTCCCATTATTGCCAAAACATCTTCAAGTAAAAACATGTTCAGATGATACAAAAACAATGCCAACAGACTCTTCAAGATAATCCATAGTTATGCTTACCTAAAACTATCAGATGAATCTGTAGAATATACCAGTGGAAGCATGCCCGTAGCTAGAGGGGGGCCAGAAAATCTTGGCTTTGATGGCTTAAATGACGTGTTGAGTCACATAGTTGAGGCCCCCCTTAAAAAAATTTGGCCCCTCTGAGACAATGGGCTAGCTTAGAGCCTGAGTGGAAGATCTAAGATCTAAAAAGAAAAAGATAGCAAACAAACCTAATTCAACACCATGAAAAGAATGAAGGTACGATGGTAATTAATCAACTAAAGAAACCAAACCAAGAAATGTTGGAATAACCTCTGACTATCTAGTGTCAAGGTCAAATGAAAATATGAATAATACAAAATATACTTTGAGAAGAAATGCTGAAGACTTGACTTTTTGAATTGAAATTCCAACCTCCATTTTAGTCTGCTGTCTTGGCCATTTCAAAACAAAGTCAAATGGCAAGGATGGAACACAGATAGTTTATCAAAGAAAACATCAAAATTTTACTTTGTGCCTCATGTGACAGAATAACGTAACCTATCTTATCTGTACGAAGAGATTACTATGCCTATCAGAACTACCTGAAACCAGTAAAGCAGTGCTAGAGATTTAGACATTTAGCCACAGGTAATGAAATTAACCTAAAGAAATGATGAGTGGGAATGACACAGGACATCCGTAGTAAGTTCAAGCTCCTGAAATATACTGAAGCAATGCTGTTTCCAGGAGATTATTCACAATAGAATGAAATAAGATACATACAGTCACAGGAAATGAGAGTGGCAATGACGTGAAGCGTTCCTAGCAAGATTGAGCGCCTGCAACTACAAGGTAATGCTGATTTCCAGGAGATAAGTCATGCCAAGGCAATGCTGGAGTAGTGGAGCCAAGAATGAGATAAGATACAGCCACGGGAAATGAAAAATGAAACTCAAAAATATGATGTCTGTGTTAGTCAAGACGTCCCTAGTAAGGTTGAGCTCAAACAACTATTTCTCTGCAATGCTGATTTTAAGGAGTTAATTTAAGTCAAGGTAAAATGAAATGAGATATTAACAGGTATCCTGGTTTATAAAAACATTGATTCAGTAAGTCAATCTTGGCACCAGGTAAAAAC